GAAAATGTATTTCACATTTTACGAAATTTGCAACATAATAAATTCCATTTAAGGATGGAGCTTAGTGCGGCAGGCAGGGGGGCGTAGGTCCTTGTCAGGTTGCGGGGCAACTTAAATTAAGTAATAACTTTTATGCGTCTTGACCTTAGGGTGACACACGCACACGCACACGCACACACACACACACACACACACACACACACACTCAGACTTTGTATTAGCTCGTTGACAATTTCTTGGCTGACTTTTCTGCCTTTGTGGTTGAAAAGTTGTGCGTGTGTGTGGCAAATTTTCTTATTTAACTTACACAAGAGCACTAATGTTGGCTGAGCTGGGTTTGGGTTGAGGCGCTTGGCATTTTAGGGTTAATTTTCGCAGCTCATTCAGAGCGCAGAGCCTAAAGGTTAATGTGATTAATGTTTACTTAATGAAATGAAGTTATCAAGTTGATTCTATCAATTTGCGCCACAGACAAAGGGACCTCTGCTCGCTCCCCCCAAAGACATGACGAAGGTGCCGGATAGCAGCTGCTGAATCATTTGTGCCAAAATAACTTCAAATGCAAATAGCCAAGTGGTTTTGCTCTCGACTTGATTTGGTTTTGTCTGCTGGCTGATGGGCATATTAGTTGAATGAGTTAGACAGGCGTCGGCGAGCGCATATATTTGTTGTCTTTTAAAGTCGAGTGTGTGTGCGTGTGTGTGTGCTTGTGTGCTGTGGTTTCTGCAATCAGACGGCTGAGCTTGGCCAAAGGAATTTAATAAAAAGCGGTTCAATTAAACGCTCTTCAGTTGGCTTTCCTTTGCGTCCTTTCGTTAATAAATGCGTTTAACGTTTTCAATCAGCAACTGCCAAAAGGCTACACAGACAGCAGCAGCAGCAGCAGCAGCAACGAGTCAAGGCAGCAGAGGGCGCGTGAGGGGCTTTGGATTTGGATGCTCTGGTTGCGAGGCAGCTTGAAATTCAGTTAAGCATTTCACTTATTTGCATATAAATTGATTAAAAAGAAAATACATGCAAGGCATTCACATACAAACAAGCACACACACACACACACACACACACACACAGGAGCTTTTGCATGTGTCAACGCAGCAGCAAAGGACGAAAAGGTCCTCTGCACATTGCTCCTGCTCTTGTCTATCTCTGTCTGTTGGTCCTTCGCTTTGGCCCGCTGCCCCGTTGAGTGTCTTTCGCCTGCTCTGCCCCGATTTCGACAATTTCTGCCACTTCAAATGCGTATGATTGTTTCCTTTTGATCAGCGAATTGTGAATTGATTCACTGATTGAGTTCAGGTTCAGTTGATGCGACGACAATGTCAACACGCCCAAAAGGACATGTCACATTTGCCTGCCGGACTAAAAGCTTTGCACACTGACTAAGGGCTTACCCACTCACATGGAGTTAACTCTGGATCCCAGCTCGCATACCTCGCACACGCCTCTCCACTAATCCGCCAGCTTCACGCTTTGTACATGATCCGATTTCTGTCTTATGGCTTAGTCACCCTCTCGAGTATTCAAATCTGGCAAATTGGGATATTTATAAATAAAGCATAAGAGAGTACGAAAGACTTTTTGGCAAGGAATTTCCATCAGATTTTGTAAATATAGTACGAATTGTTTCAAATATGGTTTGGTATATGCATTTGATTTATTAAAGTCTGCATTTAACATTCTATAGAAATATATTTATATTGATTATTGACATGTTTTATGTATCAACTGGAATGGTTGCATTACAATCCAATATATTTTGATAGCCTTGAGACAGAAAGCAATCAATCGGATTTCCATAAAAGGAATTTAAAATTCGAATGCGAATTTGTATATATATCGATATCTATATGTATATCTATATCTATATCTATATCTATATCTATATCTATATCTATATCTATATCTATATCTATATCTATATCTATATCTATATCTATATCTATATCTATATCTATATCTATATCTATATCTATATCTATATCTATATCTATATCTATATCTATATCTATATCTATATCTATATCTATATCTATATCTATATCTATATCTATATCTATATCTATATCTATATCTATATCTATATCTATATCTATATCTATATCTGTATCTATATCTATGTCTATATCTATCTATTTATATATCAAATTATATAGCTATATATATGTACACATATATACATCATTCAACAGAATCAAGAGTCGAGTCAATCTGGTCATGTTCGCTCCCCTCTTTATATCTATATATAAGCTAGGCACGAAGAAGGCATTAACTTCCATATATACAAATATTTTATTAAGATTCCAAATGCCGCCTACAGGGTATCCCACTGTCGGCTCAGCCTGTTAGCCAGTCCAATTAGAGCCACTATACAAACATTTAGTTAAGATTTTCGTAGTTTATTGATTAATGTAATTAAATAGTTGCCGCAATTGGTGGGACAATATTTTGTGGCGGTCATTGGCCGTTTTATTTGTGTTGTGGCCAGTTGCTTGGTTGCTTCAACCACGTGGCCTAAATATGAATCAAGGGCCAATTGCCAAGGTTCGGGGTTCAGTTCGCTTTCGATTTGCGGTCAGTCATGTTCTTTGAGGCCGTGCGCAAGTCGAGCTGGCGGCGCAGACACAAGGTGAAACCAATTACCAAGCTAAATAGTGTGTAACCAATGGACTGTTAAAGAAAGTATGCCATAAGAAAGCTTTTACCGTAAAGCAGGCTGCAAACCATATCAACGGTTTAAGTGCTCGTTAGTGTAGACAGTTGCACGCTGTGGCACCTACTTTCGTCGGGGTCCCTAAACATTAATTATAGTAACAGCATGACATTGTACGCCAATCACCTGCACCACTGACTGCACCACTGCACCGCAGCTCTATTGTCAGCTTAATGACCAACGAACATGCCAAAGTACTCTAATCCTCCTTTCAATTAAGCAACTGCACGCACACACACCCACAGACCCACCCACACATATACATATGCATACTCACAGCAAAAGCAATTGCAATGACATGTAATTTGGCAAATTAGTTTGTCCTCCGATATTTCATTAGATGGCTTAAAATTAATAACTCGAATACCAAGTGCAGCTGTCCTTTAACAAGATTCATGTTTGTAATCTAACATCAAATACTATTGTTTATCAAATAAATAAAATTATTATCAAACATGCAAAGGCTAGTTTCTATGTGATCAACCATAAACTTGGGGCCTTTAGAGTGAAATAAAAAATTGTTGTATTCTAACATTTGCATTTCTTTTGCAAACCTATAAATTAAAAAAAGGAGTTTAGTTTAACTAAAAAAAAGAACAGAGAATGTTGGCTTTGAGTATGTGATATGCTTATAATGCGTAAAGTGCGGGAAAAAATAAAATATATTTAAATGAATCGACATAATCGAAAATAACTTAAAAAAAAATAAGCAAATAAATATATTAAAAAAATGTGTGTACTAAAAACGAATCCAAGAATGTATTTAATAAATAAATTGAATTAAATTATAAGTAAATAAAATTATTCTATAAGTAACTGAAAATAAAATATTCATGTATAATAATTATTTAAAAATCATAAAATTGTACTATAAATACTTTAAAAAATATATAAATAGATTTAAATAAATTAAAAATATATGAAAATTAATTATAAGTTTATTGCAATAAATTATAATTATATATCAAGAGATTAAAAAATACTTTAAAGTCAATTTTATAATGTATTCATGTATACCTAATATAGTAATATATATTAACAGCAATTTCTATTAGAAATTGTTATTAGATATTCGCATAATTTTTTTTAGAATTTAAACGGTTTCGTAATTTTGCATTAAATAGTTTTTTGAGCTAGTAAAATTTTTAATTCAATTTATGGAATCAATATGCTTGAATATGTTTTGCTGATGCCATGGCCAGAAATTTATTTATAAAAATCAAATCATTTCGAGTTTTGATTTCACTCTCATATACATTGTTCTATTATATGTTTGTGTTTCCACTTTCAATAGATATATATAAAAATGTTTCATATAATTACGATAAAAACATGTATATGAAAGTTAAATCAATACTCGAAATGATATAATTTTTATAAATAAATTTCTTGCGATGGCATAAAACATATTTTAGATGTTTATAATGTGACAAAATATCAAAAATAAAAATGTAATTTAGAATTTAATTATATCTCTAAGCCGCACATTAGTTTTCTGAGGAAACACATGTTATAAAACCCTCCAGTTTGACCTGTCCATCAGCAGCTCTGCTTAAATTTATAAACTGTGTCCGATTTTCCTTCGAATTGAGCATTGCATGCCCAACTATTCATACCCTATGCGAGCACAGACACAGAAAAAATTTGTAGCAGATTTTCTGACATCGTGTTTCAGTTGCAGTTCTGATTGCATACGTTTAGGTGTTTAGGTTTGGGTTTGGGTTGTGATTGTGGGTTGTCTGGCGCTGTTATCTGGAACAATTTATCGGGCATGGCAAGCGAGTGATTCTGTCGCTTTAGCCGCGTCACATGTTTGGCCCGGGCAAATAAAAGCCCGGCCAGATCGCAATATTAACTATCTGATGGGTAAAAGGCCGCAGCTTTAATGGAAATAAAATGTTTTACAGTGCAGCGGGCCACAAAGCGCTACAAAACAGGTGGCCACGGCCACTGCGAGATAGAGAGAGTGAGGGAGATAGCGAGAGAGCAATTGGCCAAATGTATGAATCAGTCAGACTGTGGCCCACTGTCTATTGCGGCCCACTGTCTGCTCCATATGACTATAAATGTTTGTAAGTAAGTAACTAGTTTTGAGCTCCACACAGTCCACATTTCATTTGCTATTCATTCCACGCTCTCTCACTCGCTCTCGCTTGGCGAGCTGTGCGGGCTCTGCGGGTTCTGTGGCTCTGTGGCTCTGTCGCTTTCGCTCTCACTCTCGCGCTTATTCATTGCCGCCGTCGTCGCTTTACCTTTTATTTTTTTTAGTGCCTCGCATTCAGTTTGCATTTCAAAGCCGCTAAAGTAACAAGTATCTTGGAGCTATCCATTCGGTTGAGCGCCAAAAGGAAAACTTGCTGCAAAAGGCAAAATTTTTGTAAACACTCGCCTCAAATAAGTGAAAAGCCCTCGACTCGCTGCAATGGATGTAAGTTGTTTGCTTTTTCATTTTATTCCCCCTTTCTCTTCATTTGTGCGGCTAAACCTGGCCGCACGACCTTCACCTTGGGCTTCAATTAAACAAATTGCACTGCGAGCGCTTTCACAGAAATGAAAACAATTTCGTTGAGAGTTAAATCTGACGCACAGATCCAGATCAGCTGAGTTCTCGTTCGATGATTCATGCCGGCCTGCGTTCAAGTTTGTCGCCCTCATTATATATCAAACCACAATTTCCGCAAGAGTTTATTTATACAATCACTTAGTTTATAAGAAAAGCTTCTCATTTCACGTTTCTCATCTACTTCTCAGCTCTGGCCATAATGCGAGCTTTGATTTACGACTTATATATATATATGTAAAATAATTGTTGATGCGGCTGTTAACTATCTAAATTGAGCCCCTTTTAATGGAGCTCTTGAGTGCTAAAAAATAAAACAATAGCGTGTGATTATCTGCACTAGCTCGAACATTGAATGCCCTTCTAGACATAGAAACATTGAAACGCTTTCATATAAGTCTCTTTAATGCAATATGTAATATAAATATATAGACTTCTATGCTAAAACAAAAAATCTTATTGTTAAGTTTAACCAATTTTAACTAAAAAACAAAAAAAAAATGTTAACGTTCCTCTATCAGGTATATGAAATTATAAGTAACTTGATTAAGATTTTTTTATTATTGTAAGAGTTTTATTTGTGGTAAATGTGAGTAAAAATTAACAATTTAGTTAAATATTTAAATAGTAATAGTCATGAATATAATAATATATATCATGAATATAGTAATAGTCATGAATATAATAATTTTATTTCTTCATTTAAATAATATTATTATTTTACTATTATTGTCATTTAACATCATCAGGGTCATTATTTTTTTAAAATTAATATTTTTAAAAAGTTTATATTTTTATTTTCATTGCAACAATTTTTTTTTTATATAAATATTTATTATTTTCACTATCGATTTTTTTTTAAACATGAAAAACTGTTGTTTTTTATAATATATATTTATATTTGAAAATGGAAATATATTTCTGAAATGGTATGCAACAAGTAGAATAAGGCGTGACAGATACCATAAAATATATATATTCTGGACGAACTTGCCTGAAAAAGGCTCGAATGATTGAAAAAGCAGCACTGAGCAGTGGTCAGGGTATATCCTAGTTGGGTTAGAAAACACTTTTAGTCTCCATTTTTTTCCTTATTATAATAATATTATATCATTTCACACTAGCAAATGCCAGCTACATTTGTAGGCACTTTTCAAGTCGTAAATTCCCATTCCCATTTTAAAGTTTGGAGCATAGTCAATCGATATTTTCTCAGCGCGATTGGAATAATGTTAATGCTTTAAATATTGATTGGTCTACTTAACATACAGCCCTCGAATGGAGACCTGTACACGCTGGAAGCCAGCTTGGCGAACAAGTCGCTGAGAGAGCTGACAGATGGCGCCGACAAGGATCCCATTACCAAGTTGCGTTTGCTCTGCCTGAGCCGGGGCGCAACAGGCATTTTGGGTCTGGGCAGGTGAGTTTTTGCTTTGATTTTTTTTGGCAAGCTTGAGAAATTATTCAATTACCTGTTTAATGCCCAATTATTTAATTAGAGCTTTTCGCGCCATGGACGACGACGGCAGCAAGGCGCTGAACGAGGAGGAGTTCATCTCGGGCATTCACGACATCGGCCTGAATGTGACAGACGATGAAATCAAGCAGATGTTTAACACGTGAGTCTCCGGCCAGCCACTCGAACTGAATGCCAAACTAATGTCTTCATTTTGAAAACTAGCTTCGACGAGGATGGCAGCGGCTCGATAAACATGACGGAGTTCCTGCTCAAGCTGCGCGTGAGTTGCCTTGCAGGAAATTAAAAGAAAAACAAACGAAATTTCTTATTGCTTGCTCCGCAGCCGCCCATGTCGCAGTCACGCATATCGATAATCGAACAGGCCTTCAATAAAATGGACAAGAACGGCGATGGCGTCATAACCCTAGTCGATCTGAAGAACGTCTACTCGGTGAAGGAGCATCCCAAGTACCAAAGCGGCGACCTGACCGAGGATGAGATCTTGACAGACTTTCTGCACAACTTCGAGGGCGGACGTGGCAATCTCGACGGCAAGGTGGGCATGTCGTTTACACACAGAGACTCTAACTAATCTATACTTAATGCACACAGATTACACGCGAGGAGTTCATCAATTACTATGCCACAATCAGCGCTTCAATTGACAACGATATGTACTTCGATCTAATGATGCGTCGCGCCTATGTCATGTAAAGAACTTGAACCAGTTTGGATATGTTCCACATAACTCTCAATCTCAAGTGTCTAATTAACGAATCTAACTAGTCTTTAGTCCTGTTCATGTTTAATTTATACACACACGCACACACACACATGCATGTTTCATTCTAATAAAAGCTTTTATTATTTTTTCCTTGCAAGACAAATGTCGGCCCACAACTGATATCAGACGCCAGTTCGCAGTTGCCAGAAAGTCTTTTGTTAGATATGCAAAGTAACAAGCGAAAAGTTTTGTCTAAACATTTGTTGCTAGTCTTACATGCATTTAAGTCGGGCCCCTGGATCCGGGCTTGGGCCTGGCCCATAATCAAGCGGGTGCTGCCAAGACGACAATCATTGCAACAAACATGGATAGTTGCTGCCAGAGTCTGGGAATTGTTTGCGAATAGTCAGCAGCAATGGATGAATGTGAGTGTGTGTGAGTGTGTTTGGTGTGTATGTTTGCTGGTGTGCCAGGCATTTATCACACAGTTGTCACAGCAGGCGCTGAGAACGGTTTGAGCAGTCGAGCGATGGCAGCCTAAATGTATGCCTTAAATTATGCAGACACCAGCTGAGATTGTCGTCTGTGTGTGTGTGTGTGGCAACTTGTGCACTGATTGCAACCAACTCATACGAAATTTTAATTGCCAATGTTGAAATTACGCAGCCAGTGAAGGAGGCCCGCCTCTCGCACAAAAAAACTCCCAACTGAGTTTTTGGCTAACAAGCTCGACTGCAATCGTCTTCACTGTAAATCAGAAAGTTACAAGTTTATAGCATGATTTCATTAAATTTTATTTACAGCCTGCAACATTTGCATACACTGCCACAACTTCGTCTGCTGCTGCTGCTGCTGCTGCTGCAATTTTTTCTTTATTATTTAACTTTAACTTTAACTGCAAGTTAAAAATTTATCAACTTGTTTGCCATGTGAATTATGCTGCTTACGTTTCGCTTGCAAAACGGAGAAAACTGTTGCAATTGCCATTTATTTCCAAAAACTTGTTGTCAATTGCAACTGATTGTTGTTGTCCTTGCCGTTGTCGTTGTTGTTGTTATTGTTGGCCACATAAAACCAATTTCAATTAATTGCCTGCCACATGTGACTCGTCGTCGAGCTGTTTTATGCTCTTAAAACTCTTGAAAATGCCTTTTATTGGCTTTCAGTTTTCACACTTGGCTGCCTGAAGTGCTTGCCAAAAATGTGTGTATTTGCCAAGGCAACAACATTTCGGTTTGTCAGTCAGACACTCACACACACACACACACACACTGAAATATTTGTGTAAATTATGTATCGCAATTGCAGCTGGAAAAATTGAAATTTCAAAGAGCTGTCAGTCAGACATTGTCAATGTTTAAGCTAAGCCTTTCAAATTGATTGCAATTTCATATTCACAAATAAAACAAAAGCAAGTGAAGAACGTAACAAGAAATTCTCTTTCTTAGGCCAAATAATTGCAGTTTGATTATGTCCAGATTTTCACAAATTTCTTTGTTTTAGGTTTAATCCTCTGCACGCCCAGCATTGCATGAAATCTATTTTCTACCTCACCGTGCTTACAAATCTCAGCTCAGCTCTCAGAGCCGAAATGAATTTGGAGTTTAGGCATTTTTTTTTTCAGATTCCAATTGTTGCACGAGTTATGAAGTTAGCGATTTCGGATATGAAAAGAATTTCCTTAGTTACTTTGAGTTTCTTCAATTAAAATATTATTTTTTATGAAATATTTTTGAATAATTTGTAAAATTTTTAAATTAAAATTTGTAATTCATATGTCGCACTCTTCGGTATTATTATATTATATTATTTCCATATAATCAAACTTTAAATTAAATTTTATTTATATATTTTATATATAGCCGCAGGACTTCCAAGCCTCAAAATGTCGCCGATGTCTGCTCTTTATTAATTTTAAGCTTCAATCCATAACAAATATTTAATAAAAATTCTTTATATGTTTTATTCATTATAAAAATATTAATTCCATATGCTAAACACTATTTATTGCTATAAAATGGCAATTAAATATGCTGTGCTATATTTTTTAACCATTTGTTTTCGCAGTTCTCGATTTGTAGCAGGTCCTTTGGCAAAGTATAATTGCTGCAGGTCCTGCCATGGCTGCCATGGCTCAATACCCGTAAAATGCGCCATTTCGTTCGCATTAATTCACAAATTAGTTGCTAATTAATTGTGCATTAAAATATCGTGCAAATGGAATACATAAATTAAATGCAGCTGCTGCTGTTGTCCTCTTTGTGTTATCCGTTGCAGCTGCCAGGAGCTGCTGGAAAAGTTTGTCGCACATATTTGAGTGCTCACTGTGGTGGCTTATGCATTATTGAAATCTAGTTAACACTGGCTATTTGTTGTTGATTGAAAAATGCCAGCAGAAGAAGAAAAGCTAAAGAAAGTTGGAAGTCGAGGCTGGTCGAGCCCAAGTGAAAGACCAACACATAAAAATAATAATAAAAGGCAGACACACTCCACTGACTCGAATGGCCATAGGGCGCATCATTGAAGGAGTATTGAATAAATTTTGAATGCACTACAAAGCGAAAGAGAGAAGGGGAGTGAGAGAGAGAGAGAGAATCAAAAATGGAAAGTATCTGTCCCTGTATAGGCATTGAGGCTTCAAAATATTTCAGTCACGTTTTAAATGTAAAAATCTCAATCACGTGATCGAAATGCGCGCATTCAAAATATGCACAAGCCAGCATCCAAAAAGTCAAGCACACGAGCAGACAGAGACAAAACTAAAGCATGAGAGTGCGAGAGAGAGAGAGAAAGGCGAACGAATGAACTCGAGTGTTCAGCCTGGTTTCTGGGCATTTGGCCAGCTGTAAATCGAAATGAAGCCCAAACTCGAAAATAAAATGTGGCTGTGGCTCTTAACAGGTACTTGCTGAATCGATGATTTAATGTCCTCTCATCTAATGATGATGGCGATGATGATGTTGATGTTGATGTTGCTGTTGCTGTTGCTGTTGCCGTTGCCATTGCTGTTGTATTTGTGGCCAGCTGCTGGCGGGGCATTCGTTCAAATTGCATAAAATATGCAAAAAGCTTAACAAACTGCGCGCATCGTTGATTGAAATATCGAAAAATCAAGCTCCATTTACAGCAGTGCTGAGCGCACCTGCAATATACACCACACACACGCACACTCACACACACAGACACGGAGTGCAACGACAACTGCTGCACAATGCGCTACAATTTCCGTTTCCGCGTATAATTTTCACACCTCAGTCTGATTGAATTGTTCGTCAGGTTCATCATTTGATTTTCCATTTTTATGCCGTGTGCTTTTCTTTTATTTTTGGACACAACAATATGTTAATACGAGTGCACATTAAATGGTTGCCATCTGCCTGATTGCCGTCGCGTTTAATTGTCAGTTATTAATCCGCAGAGCTTAATCGCCTGCAATTCCCCTCGGCTCGCCCAGCCCCATTGCAAAATAATAACATATGCACTTCTGGCAAAGTAATTTCTATTTAATGGCCAGCCAGGGAACGCGCCCTAACTACACAGCACATAACTGCGAGGTATATTAAAAAAGCTTACAGTAAAAGGTTTGTGAACAAATTAATATAATTAATGTAATTTATATATATTTATTTAGTATTTTGAGTGATTTGAATTTAATTTGATTTAATTGAATTTTATATTTTATATTTTATATTTTATATTTTATATTTTATATTTTATATTTTCATATTTTATATTTTATATTTTATATTTTATTTTATCATTTTATATTTTATATTTTATATTTTATCTTTTACTATTTATATTTATATTTACTTTCATATTTTATATTTTCATCTTTTACTATTTTATTTACTCTTTTCTCTTTTCATCTTTCTATTTTCTCTTTTCTCTTTTCTCTTTCTCTTTTCTCTTTTCTCTTTTCTATTTTCTCTTTTCTCTTTTCTCTTTTCTCTTTCATCTTTTCTCTTTCTCTTTCTCTTTTCTCTTTTCTCTTTCTCTTTCTCTTTTCTCTTTTCTCTTTTCTCTTTTCTCTTTTCTCTTTTCTCTTTTCTCTTTCTCTTTTCTCTTTTCTCTTTTCCTTTTCTCTTTTTCTCTTTTCTCTTTTCTCTTTTCTCTTTTCTCTTTTCTCTTTTCTCTTTTCTCTTTTCTCTTTTCTCTTTTCTCTTTTTCTCTTTTCTCTTTTCTCTTTTCTCTTTTCTCTTTTCTCTTTTCTCTTTTCTCTTTTCTGGGAGAGGGGAGAGGGGAGAGGGAGAGGGGAGAGGGAGAGGGGAGAGGGGAGAGGGGAGAGGGGAGAGGGAGAGGGGAGAGGGGAGAGGGGAGAGGGGAGAGGGGAGAGGGGAGAGGGGAGAGGGGAGAGGGGAGAGGGGAGAGGGGAGAGGGGAGAGGGAGAGGGGAGAGGGGAGAGGGGAGAGGGGAGAGGGAGAGGGGAGAGGGGAGAGGGGAGAGGGGAGAGGGGAGAGGGGAGAGGGGAGAGGGGAGAGGGGAGAGGGGAGAGGGGAGAGGGGAGAGGGGAGAGGGGCTTTTCTCTTTTCTCTTTTCTCTTTTCTCTTTTCTCTTTTTCTCTTTTCTCATTTTCTCTTTTCTCTTTTCTCTTTTCTCTTTTCCTCTTTTCTCTTTTCTCTTTTCTCTTTTCTCTTTTCTCTTTTCTCTTTTCTCTTTTCTCTTTTCTCTTTTCTCTTTTCTCTTTTCTCTTTCTCTTTTCTCTTTTCTCTTTTCCTCTTTTCTCTTTCTCTTTTCTCTTTTCTCTTTTCTCTTTTCTCTTTCTCTTTTCTCTTTTCTCTTTTCTCTTTCTCTTTTCTCTTTTCTCTTTTCTCTTTGCTCTTTTCTCTTGTCTCTTTTCTCTGTTCTCTTTTCTCTTTTCTCTTTTCTCTTTTCTCTTTTCTCTTTTCTCTTTTCTCTTTTCTCTTTCTCTTTTCTCTTTTCTCTTTTCTCTTTTCTATTTTCTCTTTTCTCTTTTCTCTTTTCTCTTTTCTCTTTTTCTTGTTCTCTTTTCTCTTTTCTCTTTCTCTTTTCTCTTTTCTATTTTCTCTTTTCTCTTTCTCTTTTCTCTTTTCTCTTTTCTCTTTTCTCTTTCTATTTTTCTCTTTCTCTTTTCTCTTTTCTCTTTTCTCTTTTATATTTATATTTTATATTTTATATTTTATATTTTATATTTTATATTTTATATTTTATAATTACATATCACGTGTGTGTCTTATCGAATTACGCCTGTAGCTGACAACATTATTTATAGAATTGATTTAAAAATTGCAAAATTTAGATGCCCATTTTATGTCACGTCCTCACCCAAGCCCACGCCCACGCCCTCTGGCAGCTGCTGTTGAACCCTATCATTATTTTACCATATATGTTGTGGCATTGCGTATACGATGCGTTGGCAGCGAAATAAAAATTGTCGCTTAAACACAATTTTTGGACGCTGGTCAACTAAGCAACGGGTGTTAAATGTTAAATGTTAAATGTTAAATGTTAAATGTTAATTTCCCCACAGCTCTGACTGCACAGCAACAACAGGAATTTTTAGTTTCAGTTCGTGCTGGGCAAAATGAACATGCAAATGGCCTTTTTATTATGGACATTATTGCGCCCGAAAAATGTGCTTTTGAATGCATTAGTTGTGGGTGTGTGTGTGTGCGAGTGTGTAGGTATGTGTGATTGGCAATCAAGTCCCGCTGCGGTTTTGTTCGCCATTCATATGCAAAAATTTCTATATATATTTTTAGCCAGCAACAAAAAATCAATTTGTAAATGTTTTTAGTGGCATTGCAACTTTGACATTTCGCTCACAGCTGCTGTTGCTGTTGTTCTTGTTGTTGATGTTGCTGTCGCGTTTACGTTTTTTTTTGTTGCATCTGTCTGCAGGCAACTGGCAACTGACCCCATTGGCAGCGCTGTCCGTTTGTAATTAGCGCTTGCCCACTCGCTGCTGCCTCTTTGTGCGCTGCTGTCTGCTGCTGCTGCTGCTGCTGCTGCTGCTGCTATTTGGGGAGTTTTTGACCTCAATTGCTTTGTCACCATTTCAATTTGCAATTTCAGCCATTAACTAGTTACACTCAATGCAATTAAACTTGCACTTTTGCAGCAGAAGCAGCAGCAGCAGCTGCAACTGAGCAACTCATGCGAATGGGGCAAGGTAGTAAGCGCCGTGTTGCAAGTAGTTCACGCGAAACTTGGCCAGTTCGCAATTTGCAGCTCGCTCGATTTGTGCTCGTCTGTCCTCAGTCAACAGCAGCAGTCGTTCCCATTTGGCTGCCACGCCCACCTGCTCTACTCCACGCTACTCAGTCCTTCATTCACGACATCCTATTTCTGTCATGTTGTCAGCGGTCTGTGCAACCGCAATGTGTTGCTGTTGATGTTGCTGTTGCCGTTACTGTTATTATTGTTGTTGTGGCATAGAGTGAAAGTGTGGAGCACTCAACATAGCGACACCAAATGCCGAACATCCCGTTGCCCGGTGCGTTCCATTGGAATAATTTGAAAATGGGAATAATAAAAAAAAGGGAAGAAGAATAAGCAGCAGCAGAGGAGACGCAGATACGAACAGTGTAAAAATTGTATCTTCTCATTGAGTTAATTGCAAATTGGATGAAATTGTAATTTTACACTTCATTTCATTCAATTCATGGCTGATTGACAATTTAGTTTTTCATTAAGGTGGCCCCAGCGATTGGCGACGGGCGACAGCCAACAACGTTAACTGTATTGGCGCTACGTGTGGCAGGCGGCATGTGACAAGTGGCAAGTGGCTGAACGATTGCATCTAGCTGGCAAGTTGGCTCAATGCATATTTCATATTAGATATATTGGCTATTAATTGTCACGTGTTAGCGGAATATGAGCTTAAGGTTTATTTTTTAGAGTTGTGAGGTCTAAGAGATAGCTATATGAGATTAGATTAGTTATTGTTAGAGGAGATTTAGCATACGAGCAAAGAAGAAGCTCTGAATTTGGAAATTTAGATTCTGATTTAAATATTTCCTTATGGAATATCTGAACTTTTTTATATACTAGATTAAAAAAGCTAAGAGAACATGCAAATCAAATGACATTTGAGTTTTATATACATTAAAGACTTTTTTGTTATATATATACTTTGTAGTTAAGAGCCTAACCAGCCTAAGCTACTTGGCTAACGCAGCGTCTTAGCTGTTGCTGAAACAAATATAGAGGCCTCTGTAAGATGGGCTCAAAAATGTCTGCTTCTGCTAGAAGTCCTATATATTATTTTATTTTATTTTTTATTTGCTGAAATATTTATAAATTTATGATATGTTGCCCTTTAGGCAACTTAATTGAAGCATACATTTTTAATAAACTTTCTTAGGACCAAAACAAACACAGAATATGTGGCTCAAAGGAACAAGAAGTTATAGGGCGCAACTGCTGAAAAGCTTAAAGGATATTGATTTTATATATTTTAAGTAATAAATCGGTCAGGTAGGTCTTCAGTGTGTACGCCTAGCCAGGCTAAGACTCTAGCCTCTGTAGATATCTTGTGGCCAGTTCTAGGGCTCTGCCTCCAATTAAATCATTTTACACGTAATATATATAATATAAATATATAAATTATTATATATATTTATATTCTAGAATCAACTGAAAAATATCTGAAATTAAATCAAATAAAATAAAATAAATAAAAGTATATATTTTCTATGTTCTGCATTTTAATTAATGTTTATCTAACTGCTATATATTCTGCATGGCATCTTCCTATTTAGATATTTCATAGTTCCATATCTTTAACAAATAATTGTAAATTCATTACTCTGACCCTTGATTGAGTAATCCCTATTATCACGACGTCCTATTGGCATTCGCGCGGCAATCCTTTAGGATTTTTGCCAGACGAACTGAATTTCACTTAAAATATTACACGGCATAAATGGTTTTTATTAAATCCTCAACTGCATGCAGCTGGGGCAGCGGTGTTTGTTTAGTAAATGCATGGACAGCTTTTACGTTGAAGTGGCTCGCATCCTGACGCAGGCATTAATTATTGACAGGCACGTTGCAACCGCGGAAAGTTTTGTGAATGTGCATGGCAAATGTTGCGCATACGCAGCGTTGTAATACACTTGCTTTACGCCGTATGCACAAACAGGAGTCATGAAGCAAGCTTAAAGTTATGAATTCTTAAAATATGTGATTTATTTGTAGCGAAACTTCCATTCACACACAAACACGACCAGACCAACCGCCCACCCAACCACCCACACATGAACTAACTGAAGCTGAAACATTTTTTTGCTTGTTTTTCGTAGCTGCATCTATTTTTTATGGCGCAAAGTTTGCGTTGTCACGTGACTGGCGTGGAAAATGGGGAGTATTTATATAATAAAAAAGAAGAAGAAGAGAATAGAGCGTAGAGTATAGAGAGGAATAGTGTAAAAAGATGGCATAAGTAGCTGAGCCTGCGACCAGGTAAGGTGCTGCCGTGTCTTCGTGGAGAGACGTGTGTCGAAACGCGCCGGAAATGCCATTTACAGCAGACGTACTTCCGCTCTAAAAAGAAAAGCTCTTGCTGGATGGGAAGATTGAATGAGGGAGGGGGAGGGACGAACTGTAGCATATGCACAGGGACTGGCTGCATGTCGTCGCTTTTGTTTTAATATTCATATTTTAGCATCAGAAATTATTCGTTGAAATTAAGTTGCTTTATGCACGCACAGCAGCGTGTTAGAAGGCGAGCGGCCAGAGTGTCCTGGAAGAGCGGAGGCGAGCAAAGAAGTGAGCTTAAAAGCGACTACGACGAAAATGCTTTGAATTTAAAATCTGCAATTTTCTGTTGATTGCCGCAGCCAACCCAAACGCTGGAGCGAGCTGGGCGGGGCAGGCGGGCCGAGCAAACGTGCAGTTATAGTGTAACAAACAAGCACAGTGTTAGCCTGCGTGCTAGTTGGCGGTTGGCAGCGGGCGTAGCAACAGCATCGGCACCAGTAGCAGCAGCAGCAGCAGCAGCAGCATCAGCATCATCACAACTTTTGCGTAAAATTCCAGTCATGTGTCCCTAACAAATCCCTGCATTATTCATGAAATGATAAGATGACTTTGTGCTGGCTTCGTAGCCGTCAACGCTGCTGCTGCTTTTTTTCATAGTATCTCCTGCTGTTCTCGTTATAATTTCACATGCAGCTGCTGCTGTTGCTGCCGCTGCTTCAAGAGCCGCATTTAAGTGGCAACTATCGTTGCCTTAACAACCCGCGCAGCAAACAAGCGTGCAACTTGCATAAACGCAATTAAATACAACTCAAATATAAATGCCCCAACTCAAAAGGCTGTCAACTTGCTGTCAAAAGTTGTTTGGTCATAAATATGGTAATGCCCAGAAACAGGTAACTCGTGGAAGCAGTTGGCTAATTGCCTATTAGTTAACTATCAACAAAAACTTTAGCAACACCAGCACCCACAACAGCATCACTTGCTGTTAAAGTAAAGCACGGCTGCTGTTTTTAAAGTAACAGCTACAGCTCTGCAACATCTGCTGTTAATGTTAGCTTAACAGCACGGTCAAGCACAGTTAACAGCGCCATCTGCGCTAACATTCTATGCCTGCAGCTTAACAGAAGCGCCGCATGTTGTTAGCAGCTCAGCAGAACAGTGTTAACCACGCTGACAGCTTAACAGCATAGCACTGTTAACAGCGTCAGCTGCTGTTAAGCACGTCAACGAGCTCTTAACAGTCAGCCACAAAGCTACAAATGCGCTCTCGCTTCCTATCTGGCACTGCCCCGCTCTTCTCTGTTAAGCTCCAGTTGTAAAGGGTCGTCGTGTAAACGAGCGTCGCTGATGCTGAGAGAGGCTGCCGCTACAGCATTACAATTACACGAGCAGGATGCGGGCGTCGCTGCCGCAGCATCAACGACAGCCACGAACGGCGCTGACGAAGCTGTAGCCGATGAGCAGACGTGTGTCTCGCGCTGCTGGCGCTGCCGCAGCTTCAGTCAGTTCGTAAACTCGAAGCCGCGCGGAGATGCTTTGGACAACGTTACGCGCTGCCTGAACCAAAAATCGAACGCTAAAAGTGACAACAAAAACAAAAAGAAAAACAAAAACCAGAAACTAAATAAAAGTCTCAAAAAAATCAAACCAAAAAAAGATAACAAAAATTGCACTTGTTTAACGGTTAAACAAAGTTAAAAAGTTCAACAAAATTGAATTAAGCAAAGAAATTTTAGAAACTTAATGAAATGAAGTTAAATACAGCCTGAACCGTTATGAAGTCGCCGGACAAACTGACTAATTGAGCGCGGAACTTCCGCTTCCGTTGGGCGAGCTGCGAGCAACCCAAACTGTAAGAGCGAGCATCTTACACTAGGCTTTGGCAAATGACGGGGCGGGCGGGGGCGTGGCAGAGATTCTCAAATATTAAACACGTGAAATTCGCTTCAATTCGGCATTTAAATTATTTAAGTTGACAAACGCACACACAGAGAAAGAGACAGGCCACGCCCAGCCCAGCGCCCTTGTTTCCTGTTTTGATGTGCTCGTTGTTGGGCATTCCCCTCAGCTTTGCCTCCTTCAATTTGCCATGCCTCGATTGCCAATGCCCCCTTTGCCCCCCTCTGTCCCCCGCGCCCCACAATTACTTATGTTTCTTCTGTTTTTCTTTATTTTTGTTTCTGTTTTTCAAATGTTTGTTATTTATTTATAACGACACAGCCAAATGCCGAGCACATCCTTTGAACTTTTCTGCATGAGTTTGCAATTGTGTTGATGTCACATACATATACGTTTATGTTTGTGTGTGTGTGTGTCTGTGTCTGTGTGTATGGCATAGTTGTGTGTGCGTGTTTTTATTTCTCTTTAGCTACAGCTTCAGCTACAGCTACTGTTTCGCCTTTGACGCTGCATTCAATTAATTTCATTTCCATCGAACGCTCCCTCCCACTCTCTGTCAGTCTGTCTCTCTCTCTCTTTCTCTCTCTCTCTCGCTCTCCATTATCATTTAACTTGGCTTGCAGCTACAGCATTTCCATTTGGCCTTTGTGCGGCATCAATTGCTACTGAAATATTAAACAATTCACTCGACGAGCAGCTACAAAATAATATAATAAATAACTAACGTTGACAAAGTCACTACGATTTCTACACACACACAGACACACACACACATGCATAAATAAATATATATATTTTTGTCTGTGCAGCATAAAATAACTACAATAACTCTCGTGCGCCACCTCCTACGCCATATCAATTAAGTTTTTCAAAAAGTTTTCCGAGGCAAACACACAACAAAAAATGGATTACGCCTCGCTGCTGTTTCTCTTCAGCTGCACATTAATTGGTAAGTGTGTGCCACTTTCACATAGATATCCATTCATATATGTATTATCGCAATTTTTCATTTTGCCATTGCACGGCCAGGCGTGCGTATTAGCGCGCTGCTTAACATTATATGCCGGCCACGTGGCGTATGCGTAATGCGTGCACGCAAAGCGCATTTGCTGCATTTCATTGTGGCACATTTTCGCATCCGCTCGCAATCAGCTTATTATTTATTGTTTTTTGTGCTTTTCGCATTGTTCGCTATTTGTTTTTTATTTGGCCTGCCCTCAGCTGAACCGCAAATCAATATTGACAAAGTTTTACGCTCTCGGCTCTCGGCAGCTGCTTCTGCGTCTGCCGCTGTCGCTTCTGCCGCCTCGGGCACTTCTGGCCGTCAGTCTTTGTGCCTGGCTGCTCTTTTAATGACTTTTGCCATAATTCCAACTGCTGCGAGTGCAATTCCAGTGCACTGCAGTTGCACTGCATTTGCCGTTCATTCAATTTCATTCGCAGTTGCCTTTGCTGCTGACGCTGCCTTTTGGCACTTGGTAATTTGTGCTGCCGCAACTTTTGCTTCGCTGCTGCTGCTACTGCTGCTGCTGCTGCACAGCTTGAGTGCAGTTTAAAGTTAAATTGTATTTCGGAAATGTTCGCAATTAGGCAGCCTGCCAAAGGCATCGCCTCCATCTCCTACTGGCACATAAATTGCCAATGGCAATGGGGCAATTAATTTGCAGCGCATTAAATGAGCTGCCATTTGCCCAGTGGCAAACCAACAACTCGATTTTCCACTCCACTCTGCAGCTACTCCAGCTCCTAGTTAACTGGCAAAAAATCCACTTGTTCTATGGCAAACAGCCAGAGCAAATGCCTGAATACATTTTTAAAAACAGTTTTTTCACTTTCAAGTTTTCAAAGAGATAAATCCATGTCTTAGATAGTTCTTATCGGGTTGTCAGCTAAAAGTGATCTAAGTAATGTTCCTTAGAATCAATATTACTATCGATGCCATGAACATTCCATTAATTTCATTGTGTCACAGTCACAGTCATTGTCATTGTCATTGTCATTGTCATTGTCATTGTCATTGTCATTGTCATTGTCATTGTCATTGTCATTGTCATTGTCATTGTCATTGTCATTGTCATTGTCATTGTCATTGTCATTGTCATTGTCATTGTCATTGTCATTGTCATTGTCATTGTCATTGTCATTGTCATTGTCATTGTCATTGTCATTGTCATTGTCATTGTCATTGTCATTGTCATGTCATTGTCATTGTCATTGTCATTGTCATTGTCATTGTCATTGTCATTGTCATTGTCATTGTCATTGTCATTGTCATTGTCATTGTCATTGTCATTGTCATTGTCATTGTCATTGTCATTGTCATTGTCATTGTCATTGTCATTGTCATTGTCATTGTCATTGTCATTGTCATTGTCATTGTCATTGTCATTGTCATTGTCATTGTCATTGTCATTGTCATTGTCATTGTCATTGTCATTGTCATTGTCATTGTCATTGTCATTGTCATTGTCATTGTCATTGTCATTGTCATTGTCATTGTCATTGTCATTGTCATTGTCATTGTCATTGTCATTGTCATTGTCATTGTCATTGTCATTGTCATTGTCATTGTCATTGTCATTGTCATTGTCATTGTCATTGTCATTGTCATTGTCATTGTCATTGTCATTGTCATTGTCATTGTCATTGTCATTGTCATTGTCATTGTCATTGTCATTGTCATTGTCATTGTCATTGTCATTGTCATTGTCATTGTCATTGTCATTGTCATTGTCATTGTCATTGTCATTGTCATTGTCATTGTCATTGTCATTGTCATTGTCATTGTCATTGTCATTGGCATTGGCATTGGCATTAATCCTGTCAATGTCATCATCATTATCATTGTCATTGTCATTGTCATTGTCATTGGCATTGGCATTGGCATTAATCCTGTCAATGTCATCATCATTATCATTATCGTTATCTTTATCATTACCAATGTAATTTTCTTTAGCTTATTATCTTATTTATCTTATTAACATGACTTCTGATATATATTCGTATTATATATTAAAATTATATTTTTTTGTTAGTACAACGAGATTCTTTTAACTTGCAACATTTCTTTCCGCACATAGACCTTAGCCTCAGCCACAGTTAACTACAGCTTGGCTGTAGCTCGCCCTAAATCTTTATTAAGTAAACTACAAGGTTTTGGCAGAGTAAAAGAAAACTTTTGAGGCTAACCAAGTGCTGGTGACATATTTCACTTGCAACTCTGAACACATTTGGGGCCATTCATTCAAACACTCAACAAAAGAAACACATTGCCAGGGATGTCATTCAGGAATTCATTACACAAACACACACACACACACAGAATTGACACACAAAAAGTTTGTGTTGGCTTCGACGTATTTTTTAATATTTTACGCTTATTTTACAAAGTTTCTGGGAGCTGCAATTGCGCGTGTTTCGGTCAGTTTTAACTTGGCTAATGGAATTAAATATTGTCCCATCTATTTCAATTTGCTGCAGCCGCCTCTCTTGCTGCCTCCATCTCTCTGCTGTTGCCTACATTTTTGCAGAAATATGCTGTATTATCTCTTGATTTTATTATATAGTAAACTATGTATATAGACTATTATTTTTGTTGCATACAAATCAGGAATCTAAGCAGCCCCAACACAACTAAAACGCTCAAATGGAAGCCCATAAAAATAACCACAAAAAAAAAAATATATATATATATATATATATCATGTATATAAAGAGATATATATATAGATATAAATATTTGCATAAACGTCTCGAGCATCTTTAAATGAATTTATTACCGAACTTTTGCCAGCGCGTCCTTTGGCAAATTCATATGTAAATTTATCTAGCCACACACAGAGAATTTTGCTCGCTCTACGTAGGACCCGCCCCGGCCCGTCTCTCTCTATCTCTCTGTCTGTGGTTGTAAGTGTGCTTGCCAGCATCAAATAAAAAGTGTGGCTTAATTAGCAATGTATTTGCATATGCCATGTGAATCTGAACAACTTTTTGTCTTTAGCCAACACTTAAAATGTACATAAATAATTAACAGTGTTGGCAAGCGTAGCAAATATTTGAGAATATCTAGCACTATGAGTTAATGGATTCAGTTTCGTTTATTAAAAGCTATGAGGCAACTCTAATCCCATCAAACTGAACCACTGTGGAACCACATGCAATATATATTTTGCCAGCGCAGCGGGCGGCCGGGCGGTGGGCGGTGGGGCTGTCGTGTGGATCTGGTTGACAGTTTTCGGTTCGCATTTCTTATCAATTTTTGGCTGCCACACAGCAAACGTAATGTTGCACACACTACATACGTATGTTGCAGTTGCGCTTATCGCTTGTTGCCCCTGCCGCAGCTGCTGCACCACAAAACCGAGACCTAAACATATGGCAGTAACACAAGTGCCTCGCCTGGCCAGCAGCAGCAGCAGCAGCAGCAACAACAACTGTTTTGCATATGCATTTCATAAAATTTGAAATTTATTCGATGCGAGTAGCTTACCTGGGCAGCCACCTGGTGGCGTTTAGCAGTGCCTGTCAAACTGCAGTGACTAATATATTCCATTTTGTCTGGCTCACACACAGATATGCAGGGCATCTCGGCGCTGTTTGTGACGGATATCAGCGTGCCGGAGATAGTGGACTTTCGGGACAATGTGACGCTCTCCTGCAGCTACGATATGAGCGGGCACACCTTGAACTCGGTGAAGTGGTACAAGGATCGCCTCGAGTTCTTCAGGTAAACATGCTAAATCGATTGCCTTGAGTCAGTTGAGAGAGCTTTATTAATTTGCCACAGATACACGCCGCTAATGCGTCCCGTCTATATGACATTTCCCGTGGCCGGCATCCAGGTGCTCGATGGCAAGTACTTTTGCAATGAGTCCACGTGCCGCGTGGACCTCAGTCTGCTGGGCGCCAAGTCCACGGGCAACTTTAAGTGCGAGGTGAGCGGCGATGCACCGCACTTCAAGCTGGCTGCCAAGGAGGACAACATGACGGTCGCAGGTGGGCTGGCCAATGAACCATGAACCATAAAGCACTTAATGCATTTGTGGCTAATTTGTCCTCTCATTTGTCGCAGCCCTGCCGCAAAGTGACCCACTTATCGAGGGCTTCAACTCGATGTATCGCTTGGAGGAGTTCCTCAGTGCCACCTGCTCCTCGGACTACTCCAGTGTGCCCACCAAGCTCACCTGGTATATCAACGGCGAGCAGGTAAGACTCTGCGCGCCATTAGCCCGCCATTCGCGCCACTCGCTAACTCTGACCCCCGTTTCGCAGCCCATGCTCGGCGAGCTGCAGCCCTTTATCGATACGACTATACCCGCCCACGACTACATACTGCGCCGGCAGCGCCTGCAGGTGCACTTCTATCTGCAGGGACACCGCTTCTACCTGGTCAGCAAGATACTTGAGCTCAAGTGCGTGGCTGAAATCGAAAACTATCCGGAACTGCGACGCGAGACCACGCTGAGTGCTTCGCTCTCGCATTCCGACAATCTGAACAACCAAATGCTGAGGCATCCAGGAGCATGTAAGTACACACAGATATATATATATATATATATATATATATATTTATATATATTTTTTATATAATGATATTATTGTGTTTATTTTTGCTTTGAGCACCTGGTAAGCTGTCTTGGGCTAGCCCATATTGAGACAGCGCTCTTAGCTGATGTTATCACAATCAATTACATGTTTAATAATAATAAGTTGAAAAGTGTTGGAGACATATGTTATACTCTGTTTGTACAGCAAAAGCGGGTAGATTCCATACACAAAATGCGTTGGTTGGCTAAAGACTTGAGCTTGCGCTAGTCTGATTTGTCATTTTATTGACCGCAATAATTATTATATTAAATACATATTTAATATAATTAAATAATAAATTTAAATATTAAATATATATTTAATATACCCATTTCCACAGTGCAAACAGCGTATACTATGCATGCTAAACACTCTTCTCAAATATATCTAAGCTATTCCAATAAACTGCATAAGCCTATACACCTCTTATCATTTACTAAACAGAGTACATAAAAACATATATTAACTCTGTCTTTGTCCTATATATAAGTCACTATAGCTTCATATATGACGATGTTACATAACTTCCATAAGCCTTCATCTTAAGTCTAAGCTCAAACCGGTTTCATAATATCCATATGAGATTGACTTCATTCTCTATATTGCCTGCTTCAATTTCTATGCCTTTATTTTCCACTCGGACACAGCTTCAGCTGCAGCAGACTGCAGATGCTGCCTCTGGCAAAGGACCTGCCTAATAACCAGTCTGCTTGTGATAATTCTGATTACGCAATGCGCTCAACGTCCATCATGAGCGCCTACATCGGCTACGCAGCTGCCTCAGTCCGGGACGACGGACGCTGGGGCAAATATATCAGCAAATTAGTTAGTTAGTTAGTAGAGCAACCTGCCAGCCAGGACAACGTACCGGACAGGCTGAAGATCTGGCGTCTAGTCAATAGAGAGAGAGTTTAGGTAAAGGGCAAATCATACTGAAAGATCCAGGCTCCGAGTTTGTCGCTTTGTACATAATTAGGGCGGAAAGCAGTGACAGGAGTTATATAATATAAATAAACTAAAAACATATATATAAACAAAAAAAATATATATAAACATATATTAAGTGTAAAATAGAGTAAAACCAAAGGGCAAATGAAGCCATTTAATGAGTTTTTAGTTGAAAAAAGCTACTCAACTGAATGTAATTCAATGTGTGAAATAAATTTCTTAAATTAACTCAAAGCTCATTCAAAGATTTTAAGAAGCATATTAAAGTTTTGTGTTAAGCTTCTCAAAGTGTATAAAAGTTGAAATATTTATTTATTATTATTATAATTTAATATTTTTATATTTGGCTTAGTTAAAGTGTTTTAAAAACACGTTTAAGCTTCTTATTTTGTTAAAGCTTATATATTAATCATATCTATGTTCATATATTTATTTATTAAAAGCTCATGAAAACTTTAAAAACTGTTTCGATTTTCAAATCGCTTATAGGTTAAAATCTTTTTTCATAAATTATATAAACATTTTAATATGATTTAGTTTAAGCCGAGTTAAAGTGCTTTAAAGCCTATTGAAACTTTTTGTTTGACTCAAGCGAACTAAAAATGATTTCAAATCTCTTTTTAAATATTACTTCATAGCCTTATTGAGAGTTTGCTTCAAATCACTTACAATTCACAATTTTAATAAAAATGCTTTAAAAGCTTCCATTTGGATTATATTTTGTTAGATTGAATTTAAACTAATATTTTTATTGAAATTAATTAAAATCTCATTAAACTTTCAAATATAAGCCATATCATTATAAAAATTTATAAAATTCATTTGGTACAAATTCCAGCATTAAAAGTTTATTTGAGCTTTTACTGATTTCTTCAAGAAAATCTATTTATATTTTAAGTATAATCAAATTTTATGTTCTTATTCATCAGAAATTAACTTTCTTTCTGTTAGGAAATATATATATTTATATATATATATATATATATATATATATATATATATATTTATAATATATAAAGTATATATATTGATATTTTAGGCATCGCTTCTCAGGGAAGCCAACTAATATTTCACTGCATGTCTTCGAAATCAATTACAAGAGAATCTAAAACCGAAAAAGTATTTAAAATTTAACTGCACTCGATGGTAACAACGGTATTAGCAAAAGTTGTTCAATTAGCTTGATAAGCTCAGAGTTGAACGAACACGAATTTTTAATGTACATGTAAACATTTTTCAAATCTAATTATAATTAAAGTACACACACCATTTTTATGCACATGAAACACTTTTCAGCCAAAAAACAAACTTATTAAATAATGAATGAAAATCAAAAAAAAAATATGAAGTTAAATGCAAATTAAAATTTAAGAGACAGCAAAAGCCAAACATGAAATGTTTTCTGTGGATTATGCAAATGTTGTAAAAATGATTATGAACATAGCGATAAATGTCTAGGTTAGGCTAACATAAAAAACTGTAAATACAATTTTAAACACAACAAACAGAGGCGAACTAACTATAAATCAAGCTGCCACAGTCCCTAAAAAAATGAAGCCAAAAAGAGTTATTCGAAAATAAAAAATGCTCAAATCACACACAGAGAAAAACGAAGTTTAAAAAATAAAATATGCAGCAAACATTTCACACTAATGAGCTACTAGAAATAGAACAAAAAAACAAACAGCATAAATGTACAAGAAGAAGAACGAACTCGCATTAATGAACATCAAATATTAAAACAAAAAAAAAACTTGTAATAAGAGCAAAACTAATGTTAAGAGCAGTAAAAAAAATAAAATTCAGATCAGATCGAAGTTAAAAAAATTAAATTAAATTAAATTACATAAAAATTAAATAAAAGACATAAAAAAACGCTTTAAATGAAAAAGGGAAAATTGTAACTCGATATATGAAATTGAAAAGTCAAACGGAACACAATGTCGGGCACTTGTTAATCACTTTTTGTTATTCCGCATACAATTTAATATGAAACAAAAAAAAACCGAATGCATCTCAACAAAATGCGAATAAAAAATAATTATATAATATATATATATGTGTGTGTATATATATTATATTCCGTAAATGATATAATATTACGGCCAACGTGTATAAATTGATTCGCCTATTCATTCGCACTTCTTTTGGTTGTGAACTTGTTTTATTTTCCAAATAATGATATAAAAAAAAAAACAAACAACAAACATAAAAAGAAAACTCAATAAAAAATTAAAATGCATTTTACAGTTGTTTTTCTATGAAATGTTTCAACTGAAGTCAATGATGAAGCAAAACAAATTTTTTACAATTTTTTTGCCCATTTTTATTACATTTCATGTAAAACGCAGACAAATAAGTTAAATAATTTATTTGCAAAAACCCGTTTTATGCAACTCTGACAGTTATGTTGCGCTAATCTGTGCAATTACACACAGATCGACCTTAATTGCTGTAGCAGACAATTGCATTGAATGCACTACAAAATGGGCGTGGCTCAAGCCCAAACATTAACCATAAATTGGGTTGAAAAGGTCAGGCACGAGCTTGGGAAAATATCAATACAAATTAGAAAACTAAATAATACAGGTCCAGAACTGAAAACCTGATAAGTCATTTCAAAATAATTTTGACCCAATAAGTAGACTACATTACCTAAAGAAGACATATTCTAGTGAGCCAACAGCTAAGTCAGGTTATTCTTACTCTATATATGTGGTTGATATAGCTTTGCCCATTTTCCAAGTCAGCAGCGTTAACACTTGAGTTAAATTTAACTAAAATCAATTCAATCATCAATTGGGATTGTAAATAGTTAGCTGTGGTCCAAATAGTTTCTAATACTCCAATGGACGTAAGTATAATACTTTGATACTTTAATCTGACTGTTATAAAGCAACATTATATATTTTAATTTTCAAATCTTTAGCTTTAATAGCAATATATAAATATGCATAAAGTAAAGGTAATTCCCGGCTTAGTGGCCAAATCTTAACACACCTAAGACAAAGGTAAGAATGACGCCATTATTTGCACAGGTAAATGGACGAATTGCAAACGGAGTAGTGCATAAAACCAATTGCTTGACTCTCCGCATTTTGATTGAGCAAATGCTAAATAGCTAATGAATGCCAAGAACAAACACCAACAAGGAAAATGCTTAGAAGCTTGTTCTTTAATAAATAATAGTATTTACTGAGGCAAATCAAAAATTTTCAAACAGTATTTCCACATTTATTCCCAAAATCATATAGAAAAATCTCGTCTATCTCTCTATGGCTCGCTCTCTCCCCTTATTTCTCTCTTCCTGCCTTTCAGTGTGCCTATGGGCCCTCTTCCTGTCTCTACGTCTCTGTCTCTTTCTCTTTCTCAGTATCTCTCTCTCACCGTTTCTCGATATCGCTCCCTAACTTTCTTTCTTACTTTGTCTTTCACGTTTGGTCTGTCCTTTTCAGTCTCTCACTTTCTGTACCTCTCTCTCTCCCACACTATCTCTTCTCTCCGACAATCTGTCCCTATCTTTCTCCCTCTCTCACTCTCTGTTGCCCACTATCAACTATTAAGTTCATCTATGTGACTTAGTTTTGCCTAGACAATGCTCCTTCTGTGTTGTTATAAAAGTCGTAATTTGTTGACCTTAAACACTTTGTTTAATGCGTCGATTAGGCAGACTTTCAGCATAATGCATTCGTAAGAATTGAATTAGTTAAATGTCTGTTTAATTTTCCTTTTCTTTGGCCTTCACAGCTAAACTGTATGCATTTGCATACCTGCTCATGTCCTGCTGCGGCTACACAAAAAGGCAATTCAGGGAGAGGGAGTTAGAGACAGATGCTTGCTTGATGAAATGTACTTGCCTAATTTAAAATAATAACTTGTTTAAGTACGTAAATTTGCACAATTAATTATGCTAATAAGGGCTGGGCTCGAGCCTCGGCTGGCCCGCAAGAACGGGGCCAAAAAGGCAATGGGCAAAAGGCTTAAACAATAAAAAGGGTTAAATAATTAATTTCAATGCTGTTGCAATTAGTTTCCACTAAATTTTTCATGAGTTTTGTCCAGCACGCTTACGAGCCAAAGCCGAAGATAGGCCAATCCAAAAAAAAAAAAAAAAGAAAAGAGAAATGAAAGTAACAGAAAAGAAACAGAAACAGTAAAAAACAAAAAGGGAAAAAAAGAAGACAACACAAAAAAATGGCTGGCGAACAAAGGCCACTGCTGATGGCCACTTAATGAGCCTCGGCCTGGACAGCTAATCAAATTAGCTGCCCAAGGACTTTTGATCTACAATATATATACAGAGAGCGAAAGGGAGAGAGTATGTATATATGCGTGAATTGGGTAACTTTTGTCAATGACGCATCATTTTGCCCAAGTGTCATATGGTGCGCGCGTAATTTATGTGATTTTAATTAGCAGAATGTCGGCCTGAAAGCCAAGCCAAGTCAAGCCAAGCCGCCCAACCACTTGTGACGCATAGCTGTCACATTCATGTTGTTCTGCAAGTAATTGAAATTAATTTTGCATTATTATAATTTATTTTCTCTTTTTATTTGTTGTGTGTGCTCGAGTGTGTCTGTGTGTGTGTGTGTGACTCTGTGTGTTTGCCTGCAATTTGTCATGGAATTTTAAACATTTTCAATTAAGTGCCGCCCGGCTGGTGCACATCAGCTAAAGCTGAGCTCAACTCAACTCAACTGACTCGCCTCTAAGTTGGCCAAAAAAATGCGGCCGAAAATAAAGTGAAGTGAATTTTTCGCGCTTTGGCATTTGTCAAAGTTTTCTCCAGCGATGCTCCTCAAGTGTCCTATCTACAAAGTTCTGCTGCTGCTGCTGCTGCTGCTACTGCTGCAGCCATTTTCGCCTGTTTGCGTTTCATTAAAATCCATTAAAATGCTGCAAATCAAATTAAAAGTTTCCACTTTTTTTCTTCCTCTTCTCAATTCTGTCTGCCAAGCAGTTGGCATCATTGTCAGCGTCGCCTTCATCAACTGCCTCGGCTACGGCTTGGGGTTTCCGTTGCTCGCCGTGGCAACAAATTC